GAAAAGCAAAAAATATATCCAGACTGTGTATATAAAGGAAAAAGGAAAAAAAATAACCGAGCATGGTGGATGGACTTGGCCAGGCCCAGCTTGAAGACCTGAGTCTGGAGACGTCTCTCCAAGAAATCCTCTATCTTCAGACCCAGGATGTAATCCAGTTTCATCTTGCCCTCATCCAGTACCCCAATTCTGACCAGACGGCGCAATAAGGCATTGCCTGGGAGATGAGATAAACATAGAGAAAACTTGAAAAACCCCACCTAATTAGAGGTGAAACATAAAACATAAATTCATAGAAACCTTTTTAAAAAAATTAGCATAGTTAATATGGAATGCTTTTTGCAGGACCACCTATGGATTTCAAAAAGTGACCCAACTTGGCTCTTTGGTCTACAAAATAATGTCATAGAAAGTTTTATGGTGCCATTAAAATAGGATGCAAAGTTATACAGATAAGGACACATCTGCAAAACTGGCAGGACCTATGAAGTGAGCCTATGATCCAACACTCTTGAAAACTTTTATTGCTTGCTGCCATAGCAGCAGATATAAAAGCCATTAAGACTTACCCTCAAAGAGACGTCGCTGATCCTTCTCATCCAGGGTGAGTAGCTCACGGGCAGCTTTGCGGATCTTGGCCAAAGTGAACTTTACTCGCCACACTTCACGCTTGTTCCGTAGCCCATACTCACCTAACAGGGAGATTGTAAGGGTTGAAATGTAAAACGTGCCTGCCCCTGGGATGCAGCTGTTTAATCCAAGATCTACTGTTCTAACTGGGAAAACTTACCAATTAGTTTGAGCTCCTGGTCGAGGCGAGATTTCTCAAAGGGTCGGCGGGGGGTGACATATGTCTTCCGACATACCCAACTCCTGGCAACTGGCATTCTGGCCTACAGGGACAAAGTCCAGGCCTGTGGACAAACAAAAACAGAAGTAATCTATGGAGGTAGCAAAAAGATGCCAACAATGAGGTTAATTTCTTTTCACTCTATTACTTTAGTATCTGAACTCTTTTATATGCCTATACAAAATAATGACACAGATTAGGCTGAAACATCAGTTCTAAACAGCAATTTAAACTCAGGTTTCCCTCCCATACTGCCATAATTAAGCATTAACAAAATAGAGAAAAATATTAACTTGAACCTAAAGTAATACATTTCCAATGTGCTTCTAAACTAGCAAAACAATTGATACATGAGAATCATTACAATAAAACAGTATTCGAAATATATATAAGAAAATTGCATTAGACACTTCTATTAGACTGAAAAACAGATGAATAAACAAGTTAGCATAACTAATCAAATACATCACTCTGCATATGCTCAGATAACACTCCAGTCATTAAACAGTGAAATAGTGAAACAATGGTTAACATAATAATAACTTGATAAACTAATATACTGATATGAAGTAATAATGGATAAAACAGTCTATGTATGCTCAGGAACATTGTAATACCGAATATCAAGAAAATTAAACATCAGATTTTTACAATTCTAGCCAATTTCTCCCCTTGCATCTGCACTAAACATTCTAGATAAACTGTGGGCAATCAAGGCCTTCTTTCCAGGCAGATGTTCAATGTCAAAATCATATTTTTGCAATTTGAAATGCCACTGCATTAATCTTGGGCTTTGATGCCTCTGTCTCTCTAAGAATATCATAGCATTTTTGTTTACTTGAATAACCACTTTCTGTGTACATCCATATATTCTAAAAACATGAACTGCCCACCAAATTGAATAAGCATTTCCCTCCTGACAATTATACTTTCTCTCTCTCTCCTTTAATTTTCTGGCCACATAAGCTACTGGGTGTAAAAATTTATCATCATCTTCTTATAATAAAACAGAGCTCAGGCCTCTTTCTGAAAAAGCAG